CTTCCTGCTCCTCTGCTGCTTGGCCTGCTGTGTTCATCCAGCTCTACACCTTGTTATCTCAGATTCTCCAGCATCTGCAGTTCCTACTATCTCTATGCTGACAAATCTGTTTGGTATTTCTAGAATTTAATGTTTGTGTTACAGATTTCGAACATTTGAACCCAAATAACTGATCTGAAACTGCACCATGTTAGAAGAATCCCACTGTGTTAGGCTGCAAAACATTTCTTACTCTAATTGTGATGTTCCATTACCTAGCATGCAATTATTTCAAGTTGAGTTTCAGCTTCATAGATTTATTTTCAAAAGCTTTTGTGCCTTTAATTTGCAAATTAAATGTTTCTTCACCTTTTGCGTCCAAATAAAATTGTAAAACGTGTGTATCTGCAGTGCAAGTTTTAAGAAGTGAAACCTAATTTCTTTAAAAGGTTGTTTTGTTGGGCTTGGCAACGGTGCTGTCTGCTAGCTGTTCCAATGTTGTTGCTAAGGTTATGATTTAGGAAGAGGAAAGACAGTATTGCTATGAAGTGTCTGCACAACATCTACTGTGACTTTATGCAGTTAACAAAGTAAAGTTTCGTCTTTGCAGCTGAATTACCATGAGGTGGGTGGGGACTAAAATGGGCTAAATGACTGTCACGTATGTTGTTATTTGAGGAGTATGGTGCATTAACATAGGTGTAATGAGAACAAAAATTCAGCAGGCCAAGCAGCATATGTGGGGATAAATGAGACAGTTGACATTTCTGGTTGTTGAGAAATCATTGAAACATTAAATCTTTCATTCTCCGTAGTTGCTGCCTGACCTGTTGAGTTTCCCAGCTCTTCTTGTTCTTGTTTCCAGCATCTACAGTAGTTTACTTCTGACTTAACTGTATTGTTTCTATCGTGTATTGACACCAATATGCTAAAGAAATGTAACACTTGGAGCTGGACTCTTGACTGCAAAACCTCTAATTGTGTCTTCACTTTTGTAATCATGCAGAGAATCTGTCATAGCTGTAGATCGTATCTTTGGTCGAGAGAGTGATGAGCAACAGCCATCCAAACAATCTCGTCTGTATGGAATAACCACAGCTTACTCGCAGTGTCCGCCAGGTAACACTTACTGTTCTGTGCACTGTCTCAGCATCTGTATCTTTTGAGTGTAAGCATCGACCAGATGGTTGAGTAGATTATTTTGGATAGTTACATCACAAGTCTTGATTGACTATCCTTTGAAGTGTTTTCAATCAGAATATCTGCTGAATACAGGCCGATACTGGGTTCTATTGTGATCTAGCCTCTTTCTGTGAGAGTGGAATTGATACCCAGATCCAGTTCAACACATCAGCCCACTGACCCCTGTGCTCACTGACCTCCTTCAACACTAGGATTGTCTGGGCCTTAAATTTAAAATTCTCATCCTCATGTTCAAATCCTTCCATGGCCTTGACTCCTCCTATCTATACATAGTTAGACCCCAGCTAGAATACAGTGAATAGTTTTGGTTCCCTTATTTAAGGAAAGGTGTACAGCTAATGGAGGCAGCCCAGGGAAGTTTCACTATATTGATACTGGGCCTGGAGGGATTTTCTTTTGAGGAGAGCTTAACCATGTTGGGACTGTGTTCATTGGAGTTTATTAGAATGAGAGGAGACTTCATTGAAACAAACAAGATTCTTGTGGGACTTGACAGGGTAGATGCGGAAAAGTTGTTTCTCCTTGTGGCAGAGTCCAGGACCAGAGGGCAAAATCTGAGACCGATGAGGAGGAACAAAAGCAGAAATTGCTGGTAAAACTCAACAGGTCTGACAGCATCTGTAACAGTAAGCAGAGTTAACATTTCAAGTCCAGTGACTCTTCCTCAGAACTGATAACAGTGAGGAAAAAGTGGAATTTATGCTGAAGATGAGATTGGGTGAAATGGGGGAGAGGTGAGCGGATTGTTGGAGACGAAGCCTAGAGAGAGATGAGGGGTAGGCAGACAAGGGGATTATTAATAGTAGACCAGGGCAGAGAGAAGCTGACCGTGCTACAATGAGAACGGAGGGTGGAAGGGAATGGGTAGGCTGTGCTGAAATCAACCCACGTCGTTGTGGAGTGAATAAAAAACAGAAGGATGGACTTGGGCCCTAAAGTTTTATTGTTGAGTCATAGAGGCTGCAGGATCCCCAGATGGAAAGTTAGATTCTGTTCTTCAAGCTTGCTCTGAGGTTCACTGGAACACTTCAGGCTTGCGACAGAAATTTTGGCATGGGACACAGTGTGTTGAAGTAGCACGTGACTGGAAGCTCGGTTATTTTCACAGACAGATGAGGAGGAATTTTTTTTCTCTCTGAGGGCAGTGAGTCTGTGGAATTCTTTACTGTATAGTTCTATAGAGGCTGGATCATTAAATATATTCTAGGCTGAGACAGACATTTTTAATCAGTAAGGGAATTGAGGATCATGAGGAAAAGGCAGTTGAGGATTATCAGATCAGACACAATCTCATTGAATGACAGAACAAACTCAAACAACAAATATCCTGCATATTATGGTCTATGTTTTACTCTGTTAAAGGTGCTAAAAAGGAAGACTTCTGCTTCTGTAGCACCTTTTATGACTGCATAGTGTCCCAAAGTGCTTTACAAACAATGAGGTGCTTTTTGAAGTGTACTCACTGTTGGAATGTAGGAAACCATCTAGTCCATTTGCATGCAACATGCACCCACAAACAACAACATGGTAATGACCAGATAATCTGTTCTGTGGTGTTGATTCAGGGATTAAAAAATTAGGCCAGGAGACCAGAGAACTCCTCTTCTCTTCCCTTTGAAATCGTGACACAGAATATTGTGAATAAGTGGATCTTCCCTTTAAAATAGCCTCTGAAATCTGATATCTCTGACAGTGCAGCACAGGGGAATCAACATTTATTGTCATCCTGAAAGTCCTGGAGTGTGGTTTGAGTCCACAACCTTCAGACACTGACACAGAAATTAAAGTTTAAATGCCATTTGTTGTTTTGAGAGAAAACATATAAAACAATTTCAATTTGTCTTTGTTTTATTTTGATAGGACAGAACCACTGTGCTGTAAATAATGGAGGCTGCACCCATCTATGTTTGGCTACACCGTTGAGCCGGTCCTGTCGCTGTCCTGATGCTTCAGTGGGGGTCAGCTGCGTGGAAAGAAACTAATAACCAAGTATTTCAGGGAGTTTCCATTACTATTTAGAATGAAGTCTCTTCCTCAAAGTCAAAATTCTGATTTGAAAACCCTCTTTAATTTTTAAAATATCATTTTTTAAACATTCTTTGTTATGTTTTTTTAAAAATTTTTTATTTGGATTTTTATTCACGTTTTTTTAAAAAATTACAACTGTAAATATGTTTTCTTATGATTCACTAAATTGTACTACAAGTGATGTTTAATTCTAACTTTATGGTGCTTTACTGTAATGTTACTTCACCATGAATGAAGCCAACACATCAGGTATTATGATATGCTCTGTACAGCTTTTCATCATATATCAAATAAAATAAAACTTTTTATACATATTTATGTTTTCCATTGCAACGTACCCCTGAGTGTGCTACAGGAGGTGATTCAAGTCAGGGTCCAACACCACAGTCAGTGGGCACACTATCCATCTGGGGGGACCTATTAGAGAGTTTTGTTGCTTTATTTTGGGCTGCAGCCATTGCCGGCTGGGCCAATATTTATTGCCCATCCCTCATGCTCTGGAGAAACTGGTGGTGGAGCTACCTACTTGAAGCTTATACCATTGGATGGGAATTTTCAGGATTTGACTGAGAGATGATGGAGTGTTCGTTTGCGTTGTAGTTAAAACATTGCGAAACCTGTGAGTGATGGTGCGCCCAGGGTGTCCTGCCCCCAAGAGGTCCTGTCATTAGGATTCCAACACACTCTCCTCCAGTATCCCATTACCCTACCCATTCCACTTCCACTGGACTTTCTGCAAATCCAGCAAGGATAGGCAATGTCATTGGCTTGTGTAATCCTTTGGAATGATACCCCAGTGTTGTAGGCCCTGAGGTGACTAAATAGTCTAATACTGGATCCACACACCCTGCTACATATGGGGCAGATGGCATTTGCTGAAGTGGGTGGGCAGGGTACTTGTTTTTTTTGCATGCTCCTTCCATTGTTTGCATTTGGTCTCCAGCAGGGCCTGTCAAAGATGCTTGAAATGGTTAGCTCTTCTGCAGATTCTGCATCGCCTAATTTGATAGTCTTGGGCTCACGATTCACACCATTCTGATGCAGAACAGATTAATTAAAGAGGAGACCAATGTTGTAGAAATCACGCTCCCCATTCATTGGACCTCATAAGTTGATTTGTAAGGTACTGACTGAGTAGGTCTTCCTTTGCGAGTATGTCCACATTGAATTTCCTGTGGCAATGCTTCTGCTGCTGTGGATTTTGAACCAAGCTGGTGATGATGGATTGGATTGGGCAATGGTCCAGAAGTTGTCAACTCCTAATATGGCATGGGTGATGTGAACATCTATATGGTCCCTTGCTCAGGCAATGACATGGTTGAATAGGTGTCATTGTCTGGAGAGAAGGTGTTGCAATGCGCTGTCATAGAATGCACATAGAATCCCTACAGTGTGGAAACAGGCCCTTCGGCCCAACAAGTCCACACCGACCCTTGGAGCATCCCACCCGGACCCATCCCCCTATAACCCACCTAATCTATACATCCCTGAACACTACAGGCAATTTAGCATGGCCAATCCACCTAACCTGCATATCTTTGGACTGTGGGAGGAAACCCACGCAGACACGGGGAGAATGTGCAAACTCCACACAGACAGTCACCCGAGGGTGGAATTGAACCTGGGTTCCTGGCGCTGTGAGGCAGCAGTGCTAACCACTGAGCAAACGAGTGCTGACTCACACGGGGATGCATGCATTTATCAGACCAAAACCAATCTAGTCTCGCTCGGCAGCTTTGGTGACTCTAGATAACCTCGAGCAGATTGCAATACCTGGTAGATCCTGCCAGTAGCATGTGCTTGTCTCAAAGATTAAGCCATGCATGTCTAAGTAAATGTGGCTGGTACAGTGAATTATTGACTATTTTGTACCAGACAAGTCATCCTAGACAGAAACCCAGCTTGATAGATCATTACATTAATGGCTTTGATTTTAAGTTTCTTTCACTGTACCATAAGCACACAATGCTGCAGATTGTGCTGTAACAAACAAAACAGAAGTTTATTACAAAAGAGATGACAATAGAATAGAATAATCCAAATGATCTACTACTAATACAGACGCAATCTTAATCACACTGTAAAGGTTAGATCCCATTAATCCCAAAACAGTGTCTTATAGATTGAAAATTTGTAAAGCATCTTCCTCCAGATATCTTTCACTTAAGTTTCAGTGGGTACTCAGCTTAAGTAAACACTTCTAGGTCTTAATCTGGTCTGGAACCAACATCAACCTTTCACTTTAAGGACCTAATCACCACATCCATCACTTCTTGGGAGCATTGCTCTATGCAGCCATCCTCTTCCAACATCTCCACAGGACTGAAAAAACAACACTGTCCAATGTTAAAAGTGAAATTAAAAATCTCTTATGGTGGTTATGGGTGGTTCCCTTAAGTTTAAAAGAAACAGATTCCAGGATCTGCTAACAAACCTCTGAGGTCCCACTAATTACCTTGCTGGATCATAACTTCTCTAAAATAAACAAATATCCATCCGTGCACAAACTCATTCACTCTACTTAAAGTTTTAGTAAAGATTTGTAGCTCGGGTTGTGGGTGAGGTTGTTGACTTGCACGCCGAGCTGGCTTGTTCTCGTTTAGACGTTTCGTCACCATGCTAGGTAATATCATCAGTGAGGCCTCCGATGAAGCGATGTTATTCTACTCCGCTCGGAATTTATACTGTCCGGTCTGTTATGGTGAGTAGTGTCATTTGCAGTTTTGATCTGTATGGGTTTGTATATTCCATACACAAACCTATACAGATCAAAACCAGAAATGACAGTACTCACCATAATGGACCGGACAGTATAAATTCCAAGCGGAGCAAAATAACATCGCTTCATCGGACGCTCCACTGATAATGTCACCTAGTATGGTGACGAAACGTCTAAGTGAAAACAAGCCAGCTCGGCGAGTAAGTCAACAACCTCATTCACTTTACACCTAGCCTTCAAAAAGTGTTTTTAAAAGAAATCACCGTGGTTGCAGAAATACTTGCATGTTAACCATTAATTTAAGATAGACAGGAAAATTCACTGGGTTACTAACTCAAAAGCCAGAACCAAGTACTGTTAAAAATGATGTATATAAATCTCACTGTTTACATCACAGTTTTCCTCTTTTCTTTTGCCACCTTAATAAGTGGAACATCCTTACATACACCCTACAAGTCCTCTTATTATCATAAAGTCCTGTAACAGGAGATGGTGATATAGTGGAAATGACATTGAACTAGTATTCCAGAAGCCCAAACTAATGCTTATGGTGACATCAGTTTGAACTACACCACAGAAATTGGTGGATTCATATTCAGTTAATGATGAGCATAAAACTATCATAAATGGAAAGATTATTTCTTTCTATATCTCTTATTTTTGATTGTGGAGTGAAATGGGAAAAGGACTGTTTTAAAAGCCAAGGGTGGTTGATGGATTACTGCACCTTTAAAAAGTAAGGATTGTTTACACAGCTGCTTGTTTAAATAATGGGGGAAGTCTAGTTAGAGACATGCTGGAGCCAAGGGAAATGTATGAATGGAACTTTGGAGCTCAAATAGCTGGTTGGTCTGTGGAGTGGTGACCAGCTGTTAATAGCAAAGGCTTTTTGCCTGCCAACAACTAAGTCATTGGTTCCCACGGTTATTGAACAACTTGTGGGTGTGAATTTTGAGGAAGCCATTTGATCTCTGAAAGACATGATCCTTCTCTCTGCAGTAAAACCACCTCAAGCCTGAAGAAAACCAGTTTATTTCTCCTCATTTGTTGCTGAAAGCTGTGAATCTTAACCAACAAGTCAGAGACATTAGAAGTGTCCACCAACTGCCCTATGCCTCCTGCAAACAAGTGAAAGTACCTGGAAAAGGAGGATCAAGGAGCAGCAAGTCCTGACAAGCCAAAAGTACCATCTTAGCGAACCCTATGGACAGGGACCATTGAACTCACTTCCTAGTCTTTCACTCCAGCCATCACAACCTTTTCTTTCTTGTCTGCGTCTGTCTGTATGTGTGTGTGTGTAAGGGGAGTTTATAAGCAGGTCGAAGTTCTAAGTAGTAGGGTTATATGCCAGCAGTTCATAATTGTTCATCTGTAACTAGAATCTATTTTTTTGTAACAAGTAATAATTGTTGATATTACAGAAACCGGGTCTGTGCTTTCTGTTAACCTGGGTCTAAAAGACCAGTATATGGGTGGATTTTGTGCATATTTACACAATAATTTGTGATGACTTTGGAAATAGTAGGCATTGATTTTCATCACATTACCTCATTGAGGTGTAATATTGATCATTGTAAAAACCTACCTGGTTCATTAATATCCTTTAAAGAAGGAAACCTGGCCAACATACGATACTAGGCCAACAGCAGTGTCGTTGACTGGTAACTGCTCTCTGATATGGCCAAGCAAACCATCCAAGAGCAATTAGGGATGGCAATAAATGCTACCTTGCTGGCAATGCTCACATTCCATTAAAGAATGAATTTTAAAAAAAATTCATGTCCCTGTACAATGGCATGATGGAATGTTCGGGAAAAGCAGAGTTAGAGTAGAAGACCCACCATAACCATATTGAATGGCCAACCATGCATAAAGGGACACGTCTGAATCAACACTCATAGCTTCTTTTCTCCATCACCTGTCTTAAATATGTTATGGTTTGATGGAATTAATAGTGCTTTTCTCCACTCCTTCCATTGCTGTTCACCAGTTGGGATCAATTTGTCAATCTATCTTGCCAGGCAGCAGTTGATTTGTGGAATAGGCCTACATCAGTGGCTCTAACCTGCCACCATCAATAGCAACAGATGCAGTACCTATAAAGGAGTCAAACATCCCAAGGCATTTCATGGGTGTATTATCTAACACAATATGACACTGAGTTACATAACGTGCCATAGTGTCAGCTGACCCCAAGCTCAGTTGAAGAGGTGAATTTTAATTCAGGCTTTTCAAATAATCTTGATTTTCACTGTTCTGCCATTAACAAGTGAGTCTTCAGCTGCAGGCATAGACTCTAATCTCTAGACATTCTGCCTGAAACCTCTCTGAGCCTTCACTTCTTATTCTCATTCAGGAGCTGTTCTTAAAACAAACTGTTTGATCAAAAACAGAAATTGCTGGAAAAGTTTGGCAGGTTTGTCCGGTGACCCTTCCTCAGGACTTGGTTTTTATAATTGTCCTGATCTCTCCTCGTGTGGCTTTGGTTTTGATAATTCTGAGGGACACATTAGAACATTTACTATATTAATGATACTACATAATACAAGTTGTTAAAGCGGGAAAATAGTTGCGGTTCAGCCACTTCCTAC